GCATCTAGACACCTGTACCAAGCTTTAAATTTAAAAACAGGACCATCGTTTAACATGCACAATTTTTCACACAATTTTTACTCTTTTAATCAGTCAAAACTGACCGGAATTTGATGAAACTTGGTAGACATACGTATAATATTATTCCTTATTGTCCTGCGAAAAATGATCCATATCTGTTTATAACGACGGACATATTTTCGTATTTTTTGAGAGCAGAATATGATAAACTCTGCGTGGCGGAGGTATGTGCTCTACTGTGTGTCTTTCCAGTTATGTTTTAACTTTGTAATGTATTTTTTCGCTATTTACTGTAGATGTTTCACATTATGCTTTGTTTGATTTTCTGTATTTAATCATATTCACTTTTAATCTTGTATTTTCAATTAAAATATGTTTAAATTTATTCTTTTTTGAAAAAATTAACCTTTCATGTTATTTTTAAGTTGAATTTAAGTATACTTTGATATTTGATTGTGTTTGTTTTTTAATTCAATTTTATTCTGTATCTGATTTTGTTTTCATTTCAGTTTTAATTTATTTTATGTTAATAACTGATTTACCTTATGGTTGTAATTTGTGAAAATTTTGATTTCGTACTCAGTTCTTCAAATAATTATTTGCAGTTAATTGTTTGTTTGTTTGAAGTTATGCACAGAGCTACACAAGGGGCTAGCTGTGCTCTACCCATCACGGGTATCGGAACCCGGTTTCTAGCGTTGTAAGTCCGCAGATTGTGCCACTGGGGGGGATTTAGTTCTGTATTTAGTTTCCTTTATTTTATGGTTTTATTTGATTTTATATTTAGTTATACTGAATCAGTCTTTTTTTTTTTAATTATTCCTGTAAACTCCCAGTGGAGCATAGGTCCGCAACAACACCTCGCCAACGGAAGGTGTTGTTGCAGTTACTTGTAGCAGGCTGGTTTTTACGGGGTGGAGTTGCTAGTCCCGCGCCCAACCCTCCTCCTTTCTCATCCTGGATTTGCAAAGGCGGAGGTTGGCATGTTTGGTGTGACGGGGATTCGAACCTCAGATTACGAGTCGAGCGCCCTAACCACCTGGCCATGCCTTGAATCAGTCTTAATACAGTTTTATTTAAATTTTTACTGTGATTTAGGTCCAATTCATTGCCGTATTAAGATTATTTCGTATAGTTTGCCTAGTTGTTGGAAACCTTGTGTTAATAAAGTAATGACCACAACATATCAATTATCATTATCAATGTTGAGTACATGGCCAGCTGCACCCAAGGCTGTTCTTTACGACAGAAAACTTATAATGAAATGTTTCCTTGCGTAGCCAGCTTTTTCTCCGAACAGCACACACAATATAGTGCTCCAACATCTCCCAGTATTTTGATACAAATATAGCCAGAAAACATACTTTTGGATATCGGTTGTAATTTGACAAATACTCTGGTGACTTAAGTTTTTCCGTCATCCAAAGTCTGAAGAATTGCCTGCCTCAGAGACCACTAACTACATCAAAGTTATTTAATTGGCTTGTAAGTGGAAAACAGTAGATCAGCTTGCACCTCATTTTCGTACCAGTTTTTATGAATCCATGATGCATTTATTGACCTGTGGAAATCTCACTTTATCTTGCTATACAGTTAGCAGCACCATAGTTAGATACGAGTCTTTTCAAAGATCCTAATTTGCTTTACATATAGTCAATCCACTAGTGAAATCATCAATTCTAAATAATGTTTTGTTGATATTTCTGCTGCAATGGCTCTTATGGCAGAATTATGTTTTTGATCTGAACATTCAGTATATGGACAGGATCTCAATATATGACAAGAAAATGTGGCTGTGTTATCATGCGTTTCCCTGTAGATATTCTACAATAAGGTTGCACTCTTTCTATGTTGTAATCCAACATTTGATTATACTTTCTTGATTCTTGAAGATGTTACGATGACGTATTTTTTGTAAAACTTATTTATGAGGCGTTGCAGGTGTATCGCCTGATCAATGACGTGTAATTAACGGTTTTTAGCACGTGCGCTCACTGTAACGGTTTTTTGTGGCTTTATATAAAAGTCTCAAGTTTCCGTTGTTTCAGAAAGAGTTGTTTTGTTGTAGAAGCTTGGTTTAGTTTGAATGGCTATTTCAGACAGATATTTCTGTATCGAACGAGTTTTTGAACCTAGATATTAATCGTAGGTTTTTGTTATAAGCTATCATTAGCTTTTGTGTACGACTATAAAGAGTTTGTAAGTTTAACAATTAGTCTTAACTTTTGTAAGTCTTGTGCTTTTTGAGAACTGTTGAAAACCGTTTTTAAGAATATCGACAAGTTTTGGTGCAGCTGACATTTGAACAGTGAACGTTTTGTAATCATACATCTAGCGTGATTTGGAACTTTGAATTTAGAACCTGAAGCTGAATTTCGACATACTACGTTGAATTGGAAAGACAGTTCCTACATGGATCTACCAAGAAAGAGTCATTTTACCCCTTTTGTAAAAGATTGTATGCAAGTTAATATTTGATGTTTTTTTTTTAAATACATATCTTTAAATCTACATAATTTCAGAGTTGTCATTTTTTATTTTTACTGTATTATACAGTACGGTAATACGGGATCGTAACAAAGATCATTAGCCATTTCAATGGCATACAGTTCACTCTTATATTGGTGTTTATACAATGCACGTAGCTGGGGTAAGTAATCTAGTCATAGTATAGAAGGTGTAGTTGTCTCGGAGAAAGTGGTCACAAAGTTGATAATATGACGTTAGTTTCAGAAAGTTGTAGACTTCCTTCGTAAAATAAATTGGAGTTAGGTCTTAACCACTGTAACCCCTGTAGAGTGAACGTATAATCTTTGCCAACAACGACAAAGAACATTCACAGGTATATGCATAAACAGTTTTTAACTTTAAACCCGTTTCCTTTACCTGCTGAAGTACCATTCTTAAATTCTAGGGATTTAAACTTTTGGTCATCTCTCCTGTTACAAAAATTAAGTAACCTGATTGGCATAACACAATATATACAAACAATTTCAAGCACATAAAAAGTAGTTTCTGGTCTGCTCCCTCCATCCATTTCTACTGGCTAGTAGCTAAATGCCATCTCTTATATGTTAATTGATGATTTCCAGCACATCTAGACATTCATTTCGTGGTGAAGAGAAAAAATTAATCAAAAAGTAAATTGGCATGTGTTGCTCCATTGAACTACCTAAAAATCAATGAAGAACCTTGATCGTCCCTTCTTCACAATCACTACTTGAGACAATCAAACTCTTTCATAGTTATATCACTATCATTTTAACAAACTCTACAAACTACTAGAAACATCCTTACTTCTCTAAGGTAGTAGTAAGGGAGGACTAGGCTACATTTGTTATTCATATCTCTGTCAGCATGTATTGATTTATAACGACTATCTGGCGTGTTGATCACATGTGGAAATAGAGGTGCTAGAAATACCGATATCTCATTTTGTTGGGTGACAGCGTTCTAGGAAGTTTTGAACAAGATTGAAGATAGATATAACTACAAATATATATACAATACCAAAATTTGGACTAAAAAGTAGGGTTTATCCTACAGACGTTCCTAGTGCTAGAGTGGCACTATTCTCATGTTTCGTAACAGTCCCAAATACTCTTGACCAACTGCATGTCCGTTTAGGAAAATAAGCTGTCTAAAAGTAGTAACAATTGTTATTGAAGTAAAAGATATACGCAAACGAGGGCATGTACAAAGCAACATTCCCCTTACAAAACTAAAGATGCTACCGATTTTATAACGGTAGTACGTACATTTTTTTTTATTAACATGTTTATGACAATTTTCGTGGAGAGTTGCTCTCCACAGCTATTAGATTAACACTGATGTCTAAAGGATCTAGGAGCAAGTCAAAAATTAAAAGTGAGGGAATGGAATACTGGTCAAAGATGCTATACCTGTATTGATAACTACCCTTGACAACCGGAATTTGACTCGTACTTTGGGAGTAATCTTAAGTTCCGTTAATTTTAGTATAGTATACTAAATTAAAATGTATTATTTAATAGGACTCAAGTTTTGTTTCTATTTACAAGATATTTAGAGGAATAGTAACAAGTCCAGTGAAGTTAAAGAAAATGCTTGAGCAATACTACTACTCTAAGCACACTCTTGGACAGGTCATATATTGATACAACGCCCCCCATTTCTACATATTCAAACACATCACGTTAGAAGTTACAGTCAACATTTCGTTCTATTATTGCTCTTGGGGGGGGAAACACACACACACAACTCTTACAAGTAGAGCATACAACTGGTGCGACATCTGAGCATGTATAGTATAGGAATTAAAAACTTTACTTTTTAATGGTTATTGTATCCATGTTGAGTTGTCACCTAATAGTAGGGGTTCCAACCTCACTTAAATTTTTAATTTGACGTTTTAGTCATGCAAAATACAACAGTTCAATATATAAAATTTAGCTTCCTTCCCCCTCCCATGAAAGAATTTTGTTTGTTTTAAAAACACGAAAATAATGAATAAAAATAAGCGATAAAGTTCCATACACATTTTCCCGCTATTGCTCTTTTTTTTTTTTGTTCCATCTGAACCTATATTTCGTAATAAGAGTTTGTGATGAAATTTGTTATTATGTACACGGAAAACCAGTAAGGGTAAAGTTAACTTAAAAGTTAAGATGTTTACATTCGAAAAAGAGTTAATGTCTACTGGTGACAAAAAAAAATAAAAATACCACGACCCGCAGCGTTATGACGAACTTTCAGAAGCAGGTACTACTAATAGTGATCTTTCATACAGAACCTTTAATACCATTTTCTGTCGTGATAAAAAGGTAGACATTATTTAAATATTGGAAAATATTTATTGCAAGACTTAGAGAATCTAAACCAGTAAATAGAGATTTGTCAATTCTTGCATTATACAAGTCTAACCCTTTCACACCTGTTTAAGGCTTAGTTGTATTAGAGTCAGAAGTTACTATTTGTAGAAAGAAAATTCTACTAACATTCCAATTTTAGGTACGTACTTACAACTAATTAGAGCTTTTATAGAGTGCAATTCTAGATCCAAAGTAATTTTATTTAAATAATGAAAATGTTACAAGCAAAAAGAAACCAATTAGTAATATTAAATAAAATAACCCTTAAATTACAATAATAGATAACTTAAAAACAGCAACTAGAAATTTCATTGGTTCTTATTAGACTTCACCCATGCCTTGAATTTTTCGAGAGGTTCGTCGTTCATAGTTTTGTAATTGGGAATTTCTTTCTTCATTTTTGCCATCCACGAATATAGTTTTGGGAAACTTTGGAAATCGTAATCCAATACCTATAAGAACAGAGCGCGATAATTAGGTTTCCTGACGTTTAGACAGGTAGGAAGCATCTATTGCTCGTGTAGAATATATGAACAAGATACTGAAATATAATATACCAAGTCCTTCTGAAGTAAATATTACTGAATAATTGTAAGGATTACCACAAGTCGTTGATAACGAACATAAATAGACAACTAACGTCATTTAGAAAATTTACTTACTTCCATCATCGATAGAGAAGCCACGACAGAAATGTCTGCCAAGGTGAGCTTGTCTCCAGCCACATAGGAAGTTTTTGTAAGGTACGTTTCCAAATAACCTAACGCAGTTTTGTAGTTACTTTCTTTTTCTGGATCTGGAGCTTCCCCTTTAAAGGCTTGAGGGTACTGTGTATAGAGCAACAGTCTTTACATTCCACTTTAGAAAGTTTTACATAGTCTAATTCACACCATTTTATTAGAACGTAGAATATTTCCCTTTAGTTTTACTAAATATCCAAGTAACAAGTGATGACAGAAGAAAGTCAAACATTAAAGTGCAACTGGAAATTAAAGTTAAAGAACAAACACTAGGTAGAATTAATACTTACAAAGAGCTCTCCCTGAGTCTTGTATAGAGTCCCCATGTCGAAATACAACATCATATCCACCATTGCTCTCTGCCGAGGGTCCTTAGGGTATAGAGAACTGTCTGGAGCATATTTATTTATCAAATACTGCATAATAGCTCGGCTGTTGAAAGAAGATTAAGTTCTCAACCTTTAGTTGTGTTCCAACAAAGCGGTATTATGTCCATCAAAAAGTGTAATATTCCGTTAAGTTCCGGGAACTTCGTTTATTACATACTTATTTACTTTTATTAATTTATTTAGATATTTTAGTTAAAAATCACGCAGTAATAAACCTTAGTGTTTTTCACCACTCTAGCCTAATACACTTAAGATCCACATGCGAATTTACCTGAAGTTTCGTACTTGTAAAGTTAAAAGCATTCCTACCCCCCAAAAGAATTACGATGTGCAAGTATACAGTCGTATTGCTTTTTAACAGTTGATTAATCAGTTCGGAGAGTTAAGTAGGCTAGGTCTTAACTTATACTTGCTCTAACATAGGCCCACACTAACTTACCTTTCCCACAAGTAAAATCCGTCATCATCAATTGTTGGTACACAGTGTTGCGGGTTCATCTGAAATATTTCATTTAAAGAAAGTTAAACAAGTTATGATTAGCGTTATTTAATATTTGAAACAGAAAATAGTTCAAGTATTTTGAATAAAAAACAAAAGAAATTCACATTTCCAGTTACGTATTCAGTTCGCGTTGTTAAAGACGTTAGAGCAAGTTAACACTATTATTAGCTAGTCCAACTAGTTGCTTCACTGTACGTATAATACAGCAAATAACTGAAGAGATATATACGAAGTTTATTAAATAATAAACCATGACTGCAAACAAATGAAGGTCGTTACCATGATTATAGTTTTCAGATAATTACACTATTTAATAAAGTATAAAATGAACGTAAGTATTATTTACTGATAACAATACAAACCTTCAAGAATTCGGGTTTATTTTGTTCCCCAGCCAGTATGTCAACGTCCTTTAGGTTTAAATTAACACTAATAAGCTCAGCAACCATACGAACAGCCCGGCATGGTCCACTAGCTGCCATATGGTATAGATCGACCGTCATTTTATAAACTTAGAACAAACCTACTCCAAACAATTCTCAAACCACTAGCAAGATAACTCTCCTCTCAATACCAAACCAACACGTTGAATCAGACTTATATACTGTTTTGAGGCAGCACCGCCGTATAGTGACACAATTGTTTATTCTTAGCCTCACCCACAGTTTGCTGACATTTTTATTTTTATAGTAAGTGTAGAACGTAAAAGATATTTTAGTTTTACCATCAATAATTTAAGAAAATATAAACCTTTATTTGTAAACAAATATATATATATATATATGTATAGATATTCATATTTTCTACTGATGAAACATTTAACATGGAACGTAGGGGCGTTCGTGAATAAGCTGATGATAAAACATTTAACATGGAACGTAGGGGCGTTCGTGAATAAGCTGATGATAAAACATTTAACATGGAACGTAGGGGCGTTCAGTGAATAAGCTGATGATAAAACATTTAACAATAGGAACGTAGGGGTCGTTCGTAGAATAAGCTGATGATAAAAGAG